CCAAAACCATCAATCTGTTAAGCCCTATTAACATTCCTTAGATTTTGATTACTTTTAAACTTAGAAAGGGTTAATTAAATGTATAAAAAAATATCAAAACCTAAAAACCTCTCATTGTCGTCTTATTCTTCACAAATACACCGATATAGATCAGTCGTTTTCCATCTCACCCTTTCCGCCTCTCGCCACTGCTGAAGATCCGTGTCTCACACCGAGAGATACACACACTTCTTTGATGCCTCTTGCGGTCTTGCCCCTCTCCGATAGTAAGTACCTCATAATTTTAGCTACTTTTTCTACCTCATAACGTGGTTAATCTGCTCTCTAGATCTCTTTATCTCATTATTATGTGAATGTAGTGTAAAAAGCATTTGCCTTTGGTATTGTGTCATCATGCCTCTCACACTGTAATTATCGAATTTTTGAATAATTGTTTCACTGATGATATATTTTATGTCTGTCTATATTCTATAGGTCTAATTTGTATGTATTCTTTTAATAATATTAATCTTAATAGAAAATTGGAATTTTTTAAAAAAGAAATTTTGATTGCTACTCTATATGTCATCATTCATCAACGACGATCGATTTGTTTTATCACGAGCTCATTGTAATGTATTTGTTATATAAGCTAACTGTTTTATGAAATTAATATATTCTCACGATATTTTCTAAGGTAGTTAATTTTGTTTGGGCTTAATTTCTAAGGTTATTATTTCCATTAACAAAAATGAAAAAATATTTTTTTTTAAAACAGCAACAAAACTTAAACTCATGACTTTTCAATTAAGAGAGTAACTTCTTATTGGTAGGTCAAACACCCTTTTGGTTGCTCAATTACTTGCATACCCTATTTTAATTCATTAGATCCGTCACTGCATCGAACTACAATCTATGTCTCAGAACAATAATCCGACCAAAAACATCACCGATGCTACTCTTTCTTTTTCATATCTCCTTTTTTTTGTTTTTTAATCTTTCTCTCCCTATAATGATATAAACCTAAGAAAACCAAGGATATATCAGTTTTTTTTTGTTAGTGGTTAAAACTTAAAGTTAAGAAAACAAAAACATATAACTTTTTAAATTAACAAAGGTACAACACCGACACATATAAATGTTATTTATTGTTTTGATGGTTTTAAACTTTCATATTATAAAGTCTGATAATGGTTTTAGAAAAAATCAATTAGTTTAAATAATTTTGTTTGTTAAATTATATATAGTTTAAATGTTAATTTTATATTTATAAATTGTTACTTAATGTTATTGATCGAGGTCATTGTCTCGGTCAAAAATAAACCTCACACACACTAGATAGCTAGGGTAAGTAAGGGTCGAATCCACGAGGAGGTTATGGTCAAACTTTGTGTTAGTATAGTTAACGAAAAACTAATACTAGCAATTGTCACGAAAAAAATTTAAACAAAGATCAAACAAAAACTTGAAAATTTATTAATAAAAACGAAACTCTCAATGAGAAAGGCAAGGTACTCCCAGTTCAGTTATGAACAGTTCAGATACACACTTTCTTCCCTACAATCCTAGTTCAATTACTTAAATGAAATTGGGGTTTATTATCTTGTAACACATAACTTTGGGCACATAATATGTTCATTCAACTAGTTGTCTTACTCCCTATGTCTAAATGGATTATGCACAATTAGTGAATTAGCAATAAAGTGTCTTACAATTACCTATTACCATATTAAGTTTCAATATCATAAGTTGGAATAATATATGTTGATTCAATCACTTGTCTTTATTCATAAACAACTTGAACTTGGAACAAATGATGAATTAACAATAGACTATCTTAAGTATGACATCAAACAAATTCATAAAGCCCAATTTCAATTACCATTACCAAAGATCATCACATGAAGCATAAAACAACAACTGAAATTAACTTGAATCAAGTAATAATCAAGTGTGTTCATCAAAAAGTCATAAACATTTCTGGAAGTAACCATAATGATTTAGCTTTCCATTGAGTTCATAAAACAAATAACTTGGATGAAATAAATGAAATGCATAATGAAATCCAATAACAAACTTTAAAGCATGAAACAGTTATAACCTAATGATTATCAAAGCTTGAAACAATAAAACCTTAAGGGATAAGTAAGGAAATTCTAAAGTTGTAGTGGAGATGATGAAGATCCTTGGTTGAACAATCTTCTAATGTTGAATTCTGATGAACTTGATGATTTCTCGTCTTAAATCCGGATTGGAGGGATAAAAAGTGTGTTTCGAGAAGGTTTGAATGTGTTTGGAACCCTCCAAAACTAGGCAAAATCGCAGGGAAGAAGTTCTCAGTCGATTAGGGTTTCATCTCCCTTAAATAGATGCTAAAAAATTGATTTTCGGAGCTGTTTTCCGCATCGGCGTCCATGTAGGCGTCTTAGACGTCAGGTAGGACATCTAGGAATCCTTCAGGGCGTATTACATACCTTCTGTCGTCCTTGATTTGCACTTGAAAATGGTCTAAAATGGGTAGGCGTCCTAGGGGGCGTCTTAGACGCGTTCTAGGATGTCCCTCATCTTTGTCGCTCCTTTTTGGTGATGAAAACAGTAGAATCAGTAAAAACGCAAAACATGAAAGTTGTAGGAAATTTTGTCTAGTTTCCAAAACGTTTTGATTCATGTCAATCGGTGCTCTATATCTTGAGACATGATCAAAACATTGAAGAATTGTCAAATTTCTCAGCACCAATTCGTCTCCCACACTTGTTAACTTCAGTTTGATCGTTTTTCTTGCGGGTTCCGCCCAATTTAGCACTAAGTATTTACCTACATATGAAGTTCAACAACTCATCAAAGTAGTGCCATTCTTGGACAATTATGCATCAATTCAACATATTTAGTACAATTTAGTATATTCAGAAAATAGACTTATCAAACCTCCCCAACTTTCTTCCAAACTCGTCCCGAGATTGGCCAGAAATAATCAGCGTAGACTTAATCTCTCATCCTAAGAAAAACTCAATGGAATCACGAATTCCATACATTTTATCACAATATTTTTGAAATCACAATATATTGATTTTAGGGATTATTAGTTGCTTATCCACACTTTTAAACTCAAAACACATGTTATGCTTATTTTACTTTGTTGTTTGAAACCCTCCACTTTTTGAACCCTTTCCAATATTCAACCTCATGAGTAATCAGTTGAACTCATTGACATAGTCCCATTTTCAAGGTTCACTAACATAGTTAGCGCGGTCGGTAACACTTAATAGACCAACCCATACACTCCCGCTATTGAGGGGCCAAATATTGTTTCACACAATGTCTTCAACTTGAACTTTTCTTCTTATTTATCTTGATTGTGCATTTTTCAAGTTCTTTGATGGCTTCATCGGATTTGATCATCTTTGTATTTGACTTGAGGTTGAATATAGATACTTTGAAGTTATTCAATGTCTTTGATGCTTTTTGGTTCTGTGAAAACAATAATAGTCCCTTCCCAACCCTAAAGGCACAAGAGTAAGTAAGACCAAGTACTCAGAGCATGATGACACATATTGTTCGGTTGGGTCCTCAATTGAAAGATTGTAGGCTCGAGCCAAAAACCTTCATTTTTCAAACACTTGGGTATTTTACATAACAAATTTTAAATAAATATAAGTATTTTCAAACCGGCTGAGCAACCCACAAAATCAATATTAAATAGACATTATGACTCGATGTACGAAACTCCTATCATTTTCCATCTTTATGAGTTACATTCAAGATATAGGGAAGCTACTAACTCATCACATATTTCATAGTGACCAACTTCAGGATAAGATAATTAAACATATAGAGTTTAAGATAAAACTACATTCATCCTAAGTTGATTATCCAAAAAAAATCATCAAAGTTAATGTAAAAGAAATTAAAAAAATGGAGGACGACACACCTAATGGTATTGATAGTAGAGGCGGTTTTGATTCCCAAAAGAACTTCACTTTTAAAAAAAATCACTTTTTCTTCAATCCTCCATCTTTTTCTCACCCCCTCCCCAACTTTAAGTCTTGCATCATCCTCAATGCATCAAAGATAAATTCCTAAAATAATAGAAGAAACCAACTACAAGCACACAAATCAAATCAAATAAAAATAAACTACACTAACTAGCCCTCAATTTCGTCGGGTCCACGATTGCACTTGGCACGTGCAACAAGCATTTTAAACCCCCAGGTTACCCCTAGTGGACGAGTGAAGTGTCGTGAGGGCTTGCAGTGAACACACCCACAAAGTTCCAAAATTGCCAAGTTTAACGTCATTAGCGGGATAGGTTACCTCGACCAATGACTATGGAGGATCATATGTTCGTTGACTTCCTTGAAATCCAACCATGAGGTTGCTCACCTTACTTTGAGGAACCAGATCATGTGGCAAGCCTTTTTTGGCCTTGTGTAAATCAACTATTTTACGTTTAATCCTTCCATGATGATGCTTAAACCTTGTTTTGAAGAGCCATGCATCTTTCCATCTAGTAAACTCCTTTAATAGATGCTTGATATCATGTAACGCTTTCATTTTTTATTTGTGGGCATGTGTTGCATCATGTTTTTTGTTCCACAACTTTCTTTCCATGTGTTGAATCCCACTATTATCCAATAATTTTGACCTGGTAGATGAGAAAATTTTCCCCAAATCAAGGGTGGTGTCGGAGAGCATATTTGTGGTATGCTCATAGACATAATCATGAATAGTATTGATTACACACAAATCACCACTGATTGGAGAATCATTAGTAGGTACAAACACAAGATATCTCACCTTATGGTTTCCAAATAGCATATCAATTGCACCTTCTTGACAACCAATCTGAGCACAGATGGTTGCCAATAAGGGACGGTCAATGATTAAATTTGTTTGTTTGTATTTGGAATTTATTTTAGAATCCGTTAGAACAAAAAGTTTTGTTTCAGGTTTTTTCAAAAATTATTGGGTAGGGGATGGTATTAGCCTCCATAAACCCCTCCTCAACTTTGGACTCTTCGAACTCATGAAAAATATTCATTATACTTATCCAATTTAATTTCAACTTCATTGATTTCAGAAATACTCTCAGTCTCCAGATCATTTAAATATACATAATCCTCAACCACAAGCTCTAGTTCGGGTGGTGTAAGTTTATGCACTTTGTTATCAAATAATTTATCACTGCATCGAAAAGTTACCTCATTCACCAGCGTAGTGTTTGAAAGATTGTCTAAAGGTTTTTGATTTAGTTTCTTGGCTATATGTTCTAATTGTTTTTCAATAACCGAAATTGACTTGGAATTGTCTTCTTCTTTGTTGAAGGTTTCATTCAATATGTCCAACATTTGATCCAACTTTTTGCTAAATGAAGATTCATCTGATTCATGGTCCTCCAGAAAACAAGGTGATTCATGGTGTTGGCTTTGAGTTGAATCGTCAGTCCACCAACAATCATCGTCATATGGATCATCACCACATATCATAATAACATTGATCTTGGCCTAAATTTTCTCTCTCCCACCACATATCTTGATTCATTTATTCCATTCACCACCGTGCCTACAAAAAAATAATAGTAAACGAGTTAAGATTCTAAACTTAAAAAAAACAAAAAGAATATATAAAGACTGCTTCAACACAATAATTCAAGCGCACAATCTCCCCAACAACGGCGCCAAATATTGATCAAGGTCGTTGTCTCGGTCAGAAATAAACCTCACACACACTAGATAGCCAGGGTACGTAAGGGTCGAATCCATGAGGAGGTTGTGGTCAAAGTTTATGTTAAAATAGTTAACGAAAAACTAATACTAGCAATTGTCACGAAAAAAATTTAAACAAAGATCAAACGAAAAGTTGAAAATTTATTAATAAAAATGAAACTCTCAATGAGAAAGGCAAGGTACTCCCAGTTCAGTTATGGACAGTTTAGATTCAAACACTTTCTTCCCTACAATCCTAGTTCAATTACTTAAATGCAATTGGGGTTTATTATCTTCTAACATATAACTTTGGGCACACAATATGTTCATTCAACTAGTTGTCTTACTCCCTATGTCTAAATGGATTAGGAACAATTAGTGAATTAGCAATAAAGTGTCTTACAATTACCTATTACCATATTAAGTTTCAATATCATAAGTTGGAATAATATATGTTGATTCAATCACTTGTCTTTATTCATAAACTACTTGAACTTGGAACAAATGATGAATTAACAATAGACTATCTTAAGTATGACATCAAACAAATTCATAAAGCCCAATGTCAATTACCATTACCAAAGGTCATCACATGAAGCATAAAACAACAACTGAAATTAACTTGAATCAAGTAATAATCAAGTGTGTTCATCAAAAAGTCATAAATATTCCTGGAAGTAACCCTAATGATTTAGCTTTCCATTGAGTTCATAAAACAAATAACATGGATGAAATAAATGAAATGCATAATGAAATCCAATAACAAACTTTAAAGCATGAAATAGTTATAACCTAATGATTATCAAAGCTTGAAACAATAAAACCTTAAGGGATAAGTAAGGAAATTCTGAAGTTGTAGTGGAGATGATGAAGATCCTTGGTTGAACAATCTTCTAATGTTGAATCCTGATGAACTTGATGATTTCTTGTCTTGAATCCGGATTGGAATGATCAAAAACGTGTTTGGAGAAGGTTTGAATGTGTTTAGAACCCTCCCAAACTGGGCAAAATCGCAGGGAAGAAGTTCTCAGTCGATTAGGGTTTAATATCCCTTAAATAAGTGCTAAAAACTTATTTTTGGAGTTGTTTTCCGCATCGACATCCTAGTAGGCGTTGTAGACTTCAGGTAGGATGTCTAGGAATCCTTCAGGGTGTTTTACATGCCTTCTTCTGTCCTTGATTTGCACTTGAAAATGGCCTAAAATGGGTAGGCGTCCTAGGGGGGGCGTCTTAGACGCGTTCTAGGACGTCCCTCATCTTTGTCGCTCCTTTTTGGTGATGAAAACTGTAGAATCAGTAAAAACGCAAACCATGAAAGTTGTAGGAAATTTTGTCTAGTTTCCAGAACTTTTTGATTCATGTCAATCAGAGCTCTAGATCTTGAGATATGATCAAAACATTGAAGAGTGGTCAAATTTCTCAGCACCATTTTTCTTCATTCCTTTAGCAATTCGTCTCTCACACTTGTTAACTTCAGCTTGCTCGTTTTTATTGTGGGTTTCGCCCACTTTAGCACTAAGTATTTATCTACCTATGAAGTTCGACAACTCATCAAAGTAGTGCTATTCTTGGACAATTATGCATCAATTCAACATATTTAGTACAATTTAGTATATTCATAAAAGACTTATTAGTTATCATTCATTTATTTGTTAATCGTAATATAAAATAACTTTTAGTAATGTGTGTCAAAATGCAATTATAATTGTTATGGTTTCGGCCCCCACGTTAAATTAGTTGTGTTCCGCCCATGTGTGTGAGGTATAATAGAAACTAAACATATAATAGCATATTGAGTTTTAAAATAATATAATTGAAATTTATAATAACTATTAAAGTTCCTATAATATAACAATACATCTTTTTGTTAGAATTACTGTTAAAACGATTAAATTGTAAATCGTCTCATACATCTAGTAATCTTTATTTCTATATAATTAATCAAATTTGAAAAAGAGTATGTTTGAAGAGTATTTCTGTTCAATAATTTTAATCTATAACCGTTTGCTTTTAAAACTTAATTATAAACCTTTTATGCTATGTTTTCTTAAGTTGAATGTGATGCACTTGTATCCCTTTATAAACGACCTACATATAACTCCATATCTTCTTTTTACTTTTAAACTCAAAAGCATCGATAAGAATACATAATTTGTATTATTCCTTATTTATCATCACATTCTTAAGAATACATATTTTTTTTTAACTAACTAACCAATAATCTATTTCCATATAATCAAATATACAAAACATATAATATAAATAAATATTGGATTTTACTAAGACTTTCACCAATGAATGGCTCTTCCAATCACCCATAATCAGAAAATGAGGTCACATTCTGAAAGTTTGATATTTTTTAAATAAGTCTCATTTTAGGATTACACATCCTAAACCATTAAGTTGAAACAAACATTACTTTTTTCACAAATAGATACATGACTCAAAGCACGATTGCTAATTCTAGCAACCCTTCGTCCTCCACCATCTACTCTCAAAATGAAGACTTCATAAGTTTGATTTCCAGAATATTGTTGATCTCCAACAAGTACATGAGGTTTATATACGTAACTTTTATTTATAAAATATATATTATATGAAATACTTTTTGGAATATTTTTATATTAATCTTTCATTTTACTTTTTTTTTATCATATAAGTTAAAGTTACATAAAAAAATTTCAGGAAAAACCATTGATTGTTGCTGGTACCATTAAGCATGTGTGTGCTAGTGCGGAATGGTACTATTTGACTTGTATTGAATTGACAGAAAGTCATAAAACTCGTTTTATGCATGAGGATCAACTTCAAGATAAACAAGTTTTTTATTGTTGCACTTCAACTTGCATGAACAAAGAGATATATGTTGTTCCAAGGTTTACAATAGTTCTTTTGTACATATTATTATAATCTTCTGTTAATGTTGTCCCTGTTTCGAATCGTTTCTTAATTCGGGGTCGTGACTCGAAGATCAATTATCCTAAGGCTTAGGGCCTTTAGGAAAGAGAGATCTAGACCCATTTGGGTGTGGGTGATGTAAGTTAGATGATCCGGGAGTCCAGTTTGTAATTTGGAGCCCAAGGGTATATAGGTACATTGGCGGTTCATACCTTTTATGAATTTTGGGTTTTTGTTCAGAAAGTTTGAAGGCAAGGATGAGTTGATAGAAGTGTAGAGCTTCTCGTTACCTTTCCAGGATATAAGGATCGTCGAAAATAGACTTTGAACGAGGAAGTTATAGCCTTCAGAAGATTGAGGGTTTGAGGCCTAAGCCTAGTACGTTGGGCGTACTTGGGAAGTTCGTTGGGCGTACTAGGCAAAGATGTCGCGGGTGCCCCTTGGAGAATGGTGGGCATAACAAGAGTACGTTGGGCGTACTTCAGTCTGAACAAAACCCTAATTTAGGGTCTTCGGCCCTATTTAAGCTCCTTAACTCAACACCAAAACCTATTATATTCAGCCTCCATCCCTTTAAAACCTATAAACGAAACCCTATCCACCATTTGACTGGTTTTTGAGCTTTTTGTGGTATTTCATTCATTTTTGTGTTCACAGAAGAAAAAGGAGTTTCTTATAAAAGTGTGGGATTTCTTGAAGCTTTTGGATCCAGACTTTGTGCACCTTGATCTATCTTCTACAGGTATAATGTCTCTATCTTGATGCTACAATTTTTAGATCTTGTTATGGCATAGTTTCATAAGATTTTTTTGCCAAATTTTGGATCTTTGTGAGTATGGAGTACTCCAGGGCATATTAGCCGTCGTTTTTGAGGTCTTGGAGTGTTATGAGTTCCAGGGCATATTAGCCATCCTTTTTGAGGTCTTGGAGTGTTATGAGTTATAAAATGTTTAATTGACTGTTTCCATAGAACCATGCAAGAGTTAAGTGGTTTAGAGTGTTGGGAAAGTAAGGATTTTCGAGATTTAGCCCTATTTAACCATGCAAAGGCTTATAGTTTCCAACTTTATGGTTTAAGACATCATTTAGGGTCAAAATAAGTGTTTTGCTTCTTTTGTCTTGATCATTAAGAGCTTATTTCGGATTTTTGGGTCCGTAATGAGTACGTTGGGCATACGTAGGAAGTACGCTCAACATAATGATGGTTTTTTATAGATGGCTTGTACCTTGTGCTTCCTGGGTGTGTACGCGGGACGTACTCCGTAATAAGTCTATTTTGGGCCTTTCATGGTTTGGGCCTTATTGGTCCATTAGACTTTTGTCTTTGGGTCATAGATAGACTCAGGGCTTTCTTGGAATTAGGTCCATGATGGTTTTTGGGCCTAATTAGGAAGATGGGCCATATTGGGCCTTGGATGTTATTAGGGATTTGGGCTTTTTGAGCAAATGGGTTGGAGCTTGGTTTTGAGCCAATTAAGAAAATGGTAAAATGGTCTTTTTCCCTTTTCAGAAGTTGGATTATGGAGTGGGCCTTAGATTTTGGGTTATCGGGTTAATTATTAATTAAAGTTGTATTTATTGTTAGCTGGTTTGAGGTTATCTAGTTCAGCGACCCGAGTAGTTATTTTGTTAGCAACGGACTAAGGTGAGTCTTCCTTCGCAGTATCCATGGGTCGATAGCACAATGTCGGCCCACTAGTTAATAATGTAGTGTGATGATTGTCTTTGTGACAAATGTCAGTGATGCTTGTATTTCCTTGATTACTTTGTGATTTCTGTTATGATATTATGTGATTTCTGTTATGATATTATCCGATGTCCAGTTGATATAGACCGAAGGGTATTGAAAGTACCCAAATATGCTTGATAGTATCCGGTTAAAA